TAAGTATGCTGAATATCTGTGTGAATATATTATATATAGCATATAGATACATGAATATATATAATATATACATATTTTATATATAATATATAAATATACATGATTTCTTGGACTGACTTAAGTTCTCACAGATGTAAAAACTACTCTACTCATCTAAATATAAATCTAAATATGCACTTGGATACTCTAATCAATCATATGTGCATGACCATCCTTGAGCCCTCTTACACAGAGACATACTCATATATGCACGTGCACACACATTTATACTCACACCCCTACTTATTAGGTAGGTGTTTCTTCCTTAGTCTATATCATTTCTATGTCTAAACACGTATCCAGGAAACTTTAGATATGCAAGTAGAAAAAGGCCTGTTTTATGCATTAAATAATCATGATATGTAATCATTTGGTTCCCCTACAACATGGTGTCATGATAAAAAATTTAACAGCCATAAAAGAACTGTACTTTGAACATCCTATTCTTCGTCAAATAGAGACTCACAGAGCACTACTCCATGAAGAGAAGTTGACTGATTTTTCATTCTGAGTATAAATTTATTTTGAACATTTGATGATCCATATATTTAATCAGATGCATGGCTGCCCAAGGAGACAAATAAGTTAAGGTTCTTGGATATACACTGTAGTAGTCTCACCTTCAGCAAGACTGAACAAATCTGATCCAGTGTAATGACCTTACCCCGTGTTTTCCCTGTCACCTGTATAAAATAACATCATTTTGTGGTGAGGGTACAGCTGAGGAAGCATACCTCTTCACTGTTATTTCTTTACATTTGGTGAAACTGAGATGGAACAAATCAAAACAACACAAAACAAAACTCTAGCCTAGGGCTCAGAAAGCCCAGACTCCGGCCGGGAAATGTTTCCTGGTCTTATTTTCTTTTGGTCTCAGTTTCTTTATTTTTTTATTACAAGTATATGAAGTACTGCCCAACCTCACATCAAAGACTTGACATTAGAATCAAGTGAGTTAATTCGTGGGGATGCTTGGAACCCATAAATTGCCATGGAAATGCACTTAATATTTCTTGGTAAAGATGATTGTCTGATTCTTTTTATAGATGATAGGTGACTCCTAGAGAATTGCTTTTCATTTAAGAGACATGTAGGTAGCTAGTACACATTCTGAGGCTAAAAGTCAGGAGGATAAAAGATGTCCTTCTTAGTCACAAAAGGAGAAAAGATGAGGTTGTTGAAGGGAGATGGAATGCTTAATGAAAGGTGATTATAGAGACAGAGATAGAGCTAAATTAGCAGTAGGTTCAGGAAAGATATTCTCCAAATGAAAGAAAGTTCTCTCAAGTACAGTTATGTGAAAGCAGAATGGACTATTTCACAGGTGGTGAGTCTCCTGGCTCCTTTGGAGATTAAGCGGAGGCTAAATTGCCACCTGGCAGGAAGGCCCTAAAGAGAACAAAAGCTGGGTGGCTGCTATGGAACCTGTCCTTGTCACTGTGAAGGCTTGCTGTGGGAGACCATTATTATCACGGCATCTTTCACTTCCTAGATTAGTTATTATTACACAATAAACGTTCCAAAACTCGGTGACTTGAGACAGCACTTTCTAACAGTGTTGAGGGTTGACAGAAGGGATCTTCAGCTTAAAATGGCATCACTTAATGTGGTCGAAGACGACGGCCACATTCGCGAGCTGACAGCGAGCAAGAGCCAGCAGTTGGGAGATCAGCTGAGGATCGGTCCTTTCTGCGGACTCCTCTCGATGCCTGATGACCGAGTTTCGGCAGGTTGAAACAGAAGTACCATTCTCCTAAAATGCAGTCTCCCGTGTTTCACAGCAGTGGCACTTAGAGAACGTTCTGTGCATCAGAGTGAGTCGCAGGGTAAGGGGAGACTCATTGTATCTGGAAAACTCCCAAGACTTCCAGGGTGGGGGATGACTGGAGGCCATCAGAGAGCAGTGTCCACAGTTACGGTATTAGTTTTAAGAGAAAGAGAATGTATCGACAAATGCAATTTTAAACACATGTTTTAGAGGGTAAGGAAGTAGCCTACAGATTATTATATTTTTTTAAGATTTATTTATTTATTTGAAAGAGTTAGAGAGAGATCTTACATCCACTGGTTCCCTCCCCAATTGGCCGCAAAGGCCAGAGTTGCGCTGATCTTAGCCAGGAGCTTCCAGGTCTCCCACATGGGTGCAGGAGCCCAAGGACTTGCGCCATCTTCCACTGCTTTCCCAGGCCATAGCAGAGAGCTGGATTGGAAGTGGAACAGCTGGGACACGGACCAGCACCCATGTGGGATGCTGGCACTGCAGGCAGCAGCTTTACCCACTACGCACAGCACCAACGCCAAGCCCATAAATTATTGAAATGAATTAAAGTTCTGAAAAGTAAGTGAAAGGGAGCTGTTGGAGCTTCAGTCTTTTGACTTACAGATTTTAGTCAAATACAAGATTTAAGTAAGTAAAATACACTTACTCTAAAATGACAGATAGTGAGGACTTATTAGATAGCAAATATCAGCCCAGTTATTGGAGTAACACAATGGTCCTGGTTAAAGTCTTGCTCTGAAGAGATTTCCTGCATGATTTGGCGGTGGACTTGGAAAGCAGATAAAAATGACAAAACATACTGAACACTATTAAAAGAAAGCTTTGTAATTGGCCACAGAGATGAGATGAGATACAATCCGTTTTTTCAAAGACAAGAATGTTTCCTTCTATCAGTGAAAACCAGGGTGAAATGGAAAGAACCAACTGTTTTTGTGTGCCTCTTTTGGGCCAGTTGATTTGCTAGATGGCATTTTTCAATAATCTCCTTTGCTGGCCGGCACCACAGCTCACTTGGCTAATCCTCCGCCTGCGGCACCGGCACCCCGGCTTCTAGTCCTGGTTTGGGCACTGGATTCTGTCCCAGTTGGTCCTTTTCCAGTCCAGCTCTCTGCTGTGGCCCGGGAGTGCAGTGGAGGATGGCCCAGGTCCTTGGGCCCTGCATCCACATGGGAGACCAGGAGAAGCACCTGGCTCCTGGCTTCAGATCTGCACAGTGCGCCGGCTGCAGCGGCCATTGGGGAGTGAACCAACAGAAAAGGAAGACCTTTCTCTCTCTCTCTCTCTCACTGTCCACTCTGCCTGTCAAAAAAAATAATAATCTCCTTTGCTTTTTAAAACATTCCTATAAAACAGATTTTTAATACTAGTTTTTAAAAAGAAGAAACTGAGTTAAAATAATTTACTCACAGTTCGGCATACCAGGGGACTCTGCTTCCAAAATCCATAGTTTGTTTATTACTGCACATTGCTAGGCAGCCATAAAAGCAGATTGAATTGGAAGCGCTTTCAGATTGTCTAGTATTCCTACCATAAACCTGGTTTGGCAGAGGTCATATAAAAGCCCATCAGGGCATCATCTCTCTAATTCCTCAGATTGCGTCCACATATTCCAAGCAACTCTGTGTGAATTGCTTAGTCCTTGCCTAGAATATTGCCCCAAGATGAAAGCATCCAATAAATTGAAAGCTGGAAGTATTGATCTACAGTTCAAAACTGATATATGGGATAGAGATACAGATTATACATCATAAGTGTTAAGATAGTAGTTCTAAAAGTTCTAATAGTAGAGTTCAAAGTAGTAGTAATAGCCACATAACAATAGAATCATGATGTATTTTAGTGTTGTGATGGCATTACACTAATCTGAAGAATTTCTATACTTCTTTAACTCTTTAAGTAAAATCTATACTAAGTCTATGTCTCAGCTTATACAGAATATGTATTTAGTTCGGTATTCCCTAATCCCTCCAGCCTGGGTACAGTTCTATATTTTCTTGAAGCAGCAGCATCCTTTTATTCATAGGAAGGAAATTTATTTTTGTGATTTTAAATTTTTTTGTTCTTATTCCCTTCTTGTGTATAAAGTCTAAACGTCAGAAAAATAAGTTTTTTCTCTCTGTCTCTCTCTTTTTCACTCTCTTTAATGCCATCTTATGCCCAGCTCATACTCAGTCCCCGTACACAGTAGATACTTTGGCTTTTCTGAATGAATGATTAGACAATGAAAACCTGGGCATGTACAGTGTGAAGTGAAGGCTAGAAAAGATCCTCTAAGAAAGAGGTGCCCTTGAAAGAAGCAGAACAAAATGTTAGAAACTTTGCTCCACACACCTGTGTCCATAGTAATGTATCTATATATCCATATGACCACACAAAGACACATACATAATTCTTGTATAGTTGTTAGTAAAGACCTTTTTGTGATTAAATAAGAAAAATATTTTTAATTTGAGAGTATGAAAAAATGGCAGTGGTGGGTGTTGTGGCACACTGGGTTAAACCGCTGCTTGGAATGCTCACATCCCATACCCAAGTGTCAGTTCAAGTCCTGGCTACTCTGCTTCCAATCCAGCTTCCTCCTAATGTGCTTGGGAGATAACTGATGATTGCTTGCGATTTTGCCACCAACATTAGAGACCCAGATGGAGTTCCTGGTCCCCGTATTCAGCCTGGCTTAGTCTTGGTGATGAAGGCATTCGGGGAGTAAATGGGAAGATGGGAGATACCTCTCTAACTCTCCTTTCTTTGTCACTCTGCCTTTCAATCAAAGTAAACAAATATATTTTTAAAAAGATAATAACTCTAGACAAAAAGACAGGCTGTAGAATTTGGAAAATTCTGATAGAATTAGCATGCTCATTAGTCTATGAGATGTTTCCTGTAACTCCAAAATAATAGAAATTGTGATAAATGATTTTATCAGGGGAATGGGGGTAGATGAGAGAAAGACTTAAATCAACAAGCTCAGAAACGCTGATTGAATCCCCAGCCAGGAGGAGACTCCCAGGCGAGAAGGAATCTCCAGCAGGCTGCATTAGGCCTGTATTGGCTCCATCACCTCTGCCAGGTATCTGCCTGCCAGTCCACTCTGCAGACTGTGCACTTGCCAGCCTCCATAATTGCCTGAGCCAATTTCTTAGAATTATTCTGTTTAAATCTATGTGTATATGTAAAACACACACACACACACATACACACACAGAGACACACATCCACACACATCCTGTTGCGTTGTTTCTCTGAAGAACCCCAACTCAGTGGCACAAAGTTTTATTATTTTCAATTTATTCAACAAATATGAAAGGCAAGGAAGGGTATCTGGAAGATGTGCCAGGTGAGCCTGAGAGCTGTGTAGTGGGTTACAGTTCTTGCCAACCCTGTGATGAATCTGTTAGTAATAATATTGCTGCCTCACTCACCAAAGCCCAAGTATACATTTTTCATTCTGAAATGCAAGGAATCTGTCTCTCTTCTCTTCAGAGGCTCAAGGTGAATTTTGCGATCTGTAGTGATAAATGGAAGCTTATGGATAATAAGCCTCGCTGGAACTTTATTCTGGTGGAGTGTTCCAGAATGTACATGGAGAGACGATTTCATTGCCCATTGCTGGGGAAGAGGTTTCTACATATTGAGGTGCTTCTTGCCAAATGTTGGCCTAATTAAGCTTGAGAAAGCCCATTTCTCTGCAGGCTTGGAGCCATTGAATAAAACAAGCAGTGTTGCCGCAACATGAAACTCTATTATTATGTTGGCAAGACTTCTTTATTAGGAATAGTTGGGAGGACACCTGGCTGACTGGGGTTTACAGGATATATGGTTTCTGCAACATTGCAGCTGGAATGTTAAACAGCGTAATGCAGTTTCTGGAGGAGGATGCTCTATCCTAGGAGGCTGAGTATTTCCCAAGAATGCCAAAACCTATAACCCTCTTCTCCACGTTAGAGTGTTCTGCAAATCAGATGAGGCACTGGAGCTGGTGGAGATGGACTGGTTCCTCAGTGTGGTCCCAGCAGGAAATTGATGACATGCCATCACATCATCCAGGCTGATCTGCAGGTATTTCCTAAAAACAAGCAAACAAACGAACCTAGCATTCCAGGCACATACAGAATGAGACCACTCTAAAAAAAAAATTAAAAATAAACAAATAAATGAAAACAGAGACGAAGAAAAATCCTGCCTTTGTACTCCTTTATCAAGTCAAGGTTGAGCTACTTTCATTTTGAGAATTTGTTAGCTTTGTTTGAGTATCCTTGTAAAATATATTCATTTTTATAAGATTTATATTTATTTAGACACACACACACACACACACAGAGAGAGAGAGAGAGAGAGGGAGAGGGAGGGAGGGAGAGAGAGAGAGCTTGCTCTTCTATCTAATGGTTCATTCCTCAAATAAATGCAAATGATGGGGCTAGGCCAGGCTGATGCCAGGAGTCAGAAACTCCATTTGGTGGTTTCCCAAGTGGGGGACGGGAACCTAAGTACTAGAGCTATCATCTGCTGCATCCTTAGGTGCACTAGCAGGGAGCTGGATTGAAAGCAGAGTGGTTGGGGCCGCACTGTGGCTCATTTGAGTAAAGCCTATGCCTACAGTGCTAGCATCCCACATAGGTGCCAGTTCGAGTTCCCATTGCTCCACTTCCGATCCAGCTCTCTGCTATGGCCTGGGAAAGCAGTAGAATTGACCCAAGTCCTTGGGCCCCTGCACTCACATAGGAGACCAGGAGGAAGCTCCTGACTCCTGGCCTTGGATTGGGTGCAGCTCCTGCTGTTGTGGCCATTAAGAGACCTCTCTCTCCCTCTCCCCCTCTCCCCCTCTCTCCCCCTCACTCCCCCTCTCCCCCCCTCACTCCCCCTCTCCCCCCTCCCTCCCTCTCCCCCTCTCTCCCCCTCTCTCCCCTCTACCCCTCATTCACCCTCTCTCCCCCCTCACCCTCTCTCCCCCTCTCTCCCCCCTCACCCTCTCTCCCTCACCCCCCTTTCCCCTCTCTCCCCTCTCCCCCTCTCTCCCCCTCTCTCAACCTCTTTCCCCCCTCTCTCCCCCTCTCTCCCACTCTCTCCCTCTCTCTCCCCCCTCCCCCCTCTCCCCCTCTCTCCTCCTCTCTCCCCCTCTCTCTCCCTCTCTCTCCCCCTCCCCCCTCTCCCTCTCTCTCCCCCTCTCTCCCCCTGGCTTCCAGATTATTTGATTATCTACAAAGACTTGCTGTGCACCCTGCATTTTATCTGGGTCAGTTTCTTCCTTTTATTATTAAATCAAATTTAAATATTGCTTTAAATTTAAATGGAAAAAACCTAAGTTTATTCTGTGGTTGTTAGTATTCTAGAGCCAATTTTATCCTATTTATATTAAATAGCAATATTTTAATTATTAGTATATTAAATAGAAATATTTTAAAATTTAATATTTAAATGCAAACTTCTATTCTCTCATTTTTCTCTGTTTTTCTCTCCATAATTTGTAGTATATTCCTTTATAGTTTTACAGCAAAGGAATTTTTAAATGATCATGTTTTATGATCTACATTTTTATAGTCCACTCTGTGTAGCCTATCAAAGTTATAAAGAAATGTTAGTTGAGTTTTCCTGCAAAGTACAACTTTTATGTATGCTTGATTTGTCAATTTCATTATTTACCTATGCTTCTTATTCCATGATATTAAGAGATCATGGTTTTTAAAAATTTATCAATTCAATGTAGCCTTTTAAGTACAAACAGAATATATATACATTATTATTCTATTTTTCATATGCAACTGTTTTCCTTGGGGCCCAACCTCATAAAAGAAAGATACTGTATGCTTATAAAATAACACATTTTACGAGGGGCTGCATAGTAGGTAAAGCTGCCATTTGCATTGCCAGCATCCCATTTGTGCACCAGTTCCTGTCGCAGCTGGTGTACTTCTGATCTAGCTTCCTATTAATGGCCTGAGGAATACAGGGGAAAATGGCCCAATGGGCTTGGGTCCCTGCTACCCATGTGGGAGAGCTAGAAGAAGCTCCTGGCTTAAGCCTGACTCAGCCCCAGCCATTGTGGCCATCTGGGGAGTGAACCAACCAATGGATGAAAGATATTGTTTCTCTCTCTCTCCCCCTCCTTCTCCATAACTATTTTAAACAAACAAATAAACTTTTGAGAAAAACAAATATATATAGTAAAATACCATATATGCATACTAAGGGTGCTTCAAAAAATTTGTGGAAAATGCAACAAGAGCAAGTTTATTTTTGTGGAAAAAATGCAAAATACATGCATGTTTTTTCATGACTCACATTTTCTGAAAATCCTCATATGCATGGATTTTAAATTTTGCACCAAATGAGCTTATTTTCTTCAATGAAGTTTTTTAAAGTACTCTTGTATATAATCTATAGATAAGACATATACAGAGGTATATTTAATATGTATGTAGATATGTATTGCATATACCTACAATTTTAAGATAACACAAAATAAATACAACCTCTTCAAATGACATATTGTTTTTCAGAAAACATTATTTGTCAGCTACTCAGTTACTTCTGAACTGACTTTATGACATTTTGCCATGCTCCTTCAATACGCTTTTTTGCTCATCAATCACTGTTTCTGTTTCTGTTCAATGTCAGTGAGAAAACCAGTGATGCAGCTGCAAATAATGAATCATGAACAAGCTCTTGCCATTTATATCGTAAACATGACAGTGCAGTGCCTGCAGACTGTGTTATTTCCGGTCTGCATTTCTGGACACTGAGGTCAATAAAATTGCTACTGGCCATAAAACATGGACATGAGATGTGGTTGTGTACAATGAATCTTCTGACTGGAGAATGAAATACTATATCAGGTTGAAAAAAAATTGGGGTATCCATGGCCTCTTGGAAGAAACCAATTCAACTTTATTTTGAGGTTATTCCTTGCATGTCCTCTTATGATTTCCTATACACCCCTAAGATTTGGTCTGCTGGCTTCATTCTCCTGTACCAAATAAAGCTTTGTTTGGATTTCTCTGCTTCCCTAGAGATGTATGCATAACAGTTCTCCGAGTTAACACCAATCCTTCAATTGTTCTCAGAAGCAAACACAGACAACCCCACACTCTTATCTTGTGCGAAACATAGTAGCGCTTTGTAATATATGAAAAAACCATTGTTTCAAACCAAGAAACATTTAAAATTATAAGATTTTTGCAATTCAAATCTGGGTTTTTCCAATTTTTATATAGCCCTCCCAAAGCTTCTTCAGTACTCAAACTGATTCTCTGAATCTCTGGAGAATATATGTTTTATAGATAGATAGATAGATAGATAGATAGATAGATATAAATAGCAGCATATATGTTACATGTATGTACAATTCCTTTGTTGACAAGGGTTCATAATTTCCCTTCTAAACTTCATGAAATTCTTTAGGAAAGAGTTGGAATTTATTCTTTCACTCGTGGCCCCTTCTGTATTGCATATTTGAGTAATATTCTAATTTTCTTCATTTTGTATTCAGATGACTGAGTCTAGTTTTTTGTCTCCAACATGAGAAAGAATTCAAGAATAAGACATAAGTATAGGTAACAGGAGGAATAAATATACTATTAGCAAAATAGAAACACACACTGGTGAGGAAGTGCAGGTATGCTTGAGAGTGAGCTGCAGCCAACGACGTTTGAGATAATCTCATTTATATAATCTTGAGAGAGCAGAGGAATAGCATAGCCAAAGGAGGTGGTGCTTGGTGCAGGGCTTTCCAAGAGTAGGTGAAGGGTTCTAGGAACTTGACTACTGCCCATTTTCTTAGCTTTTTAGGAAGTCCCGTGTCAGGAATAGGCGTGTCAGCCATGGTAATTTTAGTATAATGTTGTTATAATTGGATAAAGGTCATCAAAGGGACGTGATCAGCAGCCGTGTTGGGCATTTTCAGCCATTTTTGGTCTGGGTGGCAGTTTTGTGGCAATGGTGGCTTTTGTTGACCTGAACCACAGCACAAGGTGGGGCAATGCCTGGGTGGAGTAAGTGGGGTCATAAGGAAGGGCTGGTGACACGTAGCAAACCCCCAGCTTCCTCCTTGCTCTATCATTTTGTTCCCATCCCCCATATTAGCAGAGAATTGTAGATATGTGAGGAGAACCTTCCTCTCTTCTCTTTGAGACCACACTTTGGCTGATGTCCCCATCACTTGAGTTTCTGTGTGGCAGCTCTTGCCAGAATAGTCACTCATTGCTTTGGGTGATATTTTCATCCTGCTTCTTCAGGACTGAAAGTGGTAAAGAGGAGCAGAATACACCACCCCAAAATGAAGTCTATGGAAGAAATGGAATTATAGTTAGTGCAGGGAACAGGTGTTTAGCCTAGTGCTTAAGATACCTACATCCTCCAACGGAGTGCTTGGGTTTGGTTTCCAGTTCAAGTGCATGTTTCCAGCTTCCTGATAATGTGGACCATGGGATGCGGTGGTAATGACTGAAATGATCAGGTTCCTGTCACCCTCATTGCAGATCTGAATTGTGTGCCCAGCTCTCACTTTTGCCCTGACCCAGACTCAGAACTGTGGGCATTTGGGGAGAGAACCAGGACACGAGAGCTCACACTCTCTGTCACTCTGTCTCTGTCTCTCTGCCTCTTAACTATATATAACTATATAGTTATATATATATATATATAGTTATATATATATATAGTATATATATATATAGTATATATATATATAGTATATATATATAGTTATATATATATAGTTATATAGTTATATATATATGTGTGTGTGTGTATATATATATATATATATAAAAAAGGTAATGCTCATTTTCACAGACTTTTGGAAGTATCCTCATCTGTCACTTTGATATAAGGATTATGTTGAGGCAATTTCACTTAAAAAAAGGTGCAAGGAGGGCACGGTGACTGTCCTTTTTCTTCTTGAAATCATGTGATTAAAAACTTATATAGAAGTTCTCCCTGTACCAGAAGGAAAAGTATCACTGTTATCGTGGAGGTTGAGAAGCTGAGACAGCTAGTTCTATAAAAAACAGACTTGTTAAATTAGTCTTTTTTAACCCAGAAGACTTTTGTTTAGGGTATACAAACTTC